AAGAACCCCCAATTTAAAATTTAAGCTCTTGGTTGGTGGAAATTTATGGGAAAAGCCGCAATCAGTCACCATAGTGCGTATAGTGCCATAGAGGAAAGCCAGTCAAGGATTGTGGTACCATTGCTGGAATGTGCTTGTTAATTTAATTAAAGGTTAATTCAACCTAGAATCCATTTCTGATTGAAGAATGTTTAAAGATGGTTGTAAAATTAGATGAATGGAGTTCAAACAGCAGTTGAAACATGTAACTTGATGCTCTTGGGGAGTTTCTCCCAATTTTTTTATAATGTTCCAAAACTCAGTCTCAACTCTTCACAACCCAATAGATTTTGTCTGTGACATTCGGTCCCTGACAGAAGATCTTCAGAACTTCTAAGGGAGCACCCACTGTTGCTATAATGGAGTCCCTTCACCTCTTCTTCTCTTTCTGTCCATCTTACCCAAGATTAGGGCATTTTCCAGAAAGGTTTCTGAAGTAGTATATTTTGAGCTGGGTCCTTTGTTCCTTGAGGGAGAACTCTGGCTTGACTTTCTCCTAAAGTTGACAGAAAATCAAGGAGAAATAAAGCAGATCAAAAAAACCTGGAGGCATATGGAATACTAAAAAATTAGGTGAGATGTCTTCAGCCCCAATATTCTGTAATTTTTGTCCATCTGTGGTCAAGGCAAATATCACCACTCATACGTAATTCAGAGTTTCAAACGTAAATCAGGCTTTTCTCTTCCTTTGCTGTCAACTCTTCAAACTGTCTCCTTGGGATGGAGGTAGATCGTTGAAAATTTCCAATTATATCCTATTTGCAATCACTTTATTATAGCCCTTGAACAAGACAGGGAGTGAAATTGGACATGTCCATGCACTTTGCTCCAAATTGGCCTGAATGGTAGTTGAATCACTCCCATCCTCTTTATTCAAAGTTTTTCTATGGTCTTCTGGGCACCCTATTGCCCGACGTCATCCATTCAACTAAAAAAAAAATCTGTTAAAAAATGCTATTGAACATCTTGAACTTCAATTCTCTCCTGCAAATCTCCGATTCTCTTCTCCCACCTATAAGTAATGAACAAGAGGAACCACAGCAATCATAGAGAAGTACATTTAGGTTTAAACCAATACGGTGAGCATTAACAAAGAAAGGCAGAGAGCTGGAACTGCAGTTGTGTTCTCAGCAGATCTCTGCAAAGGCTTCTTTCATTCAGAAACGATGAGAGCCATTGAGGCTTGACAACTACCATGTTTCCCCGAAAATAAGACAGTCTTATTTTCTTTTGACCCCTGAAATAAGCGCTTAGCCTTATTTTCGGGGAGGTCTTATTATTTTTGAGGTGCAAGAGGCAGCGGGCATGGTCACCTCATGGCTGCTGCTGCGTTGCAATGTTTTCGGGAACGCACTCAAAAGCCCGATTGGGCTTATTATCTGGGGACGTCTTATTTTCAGGGAAGGCAAAGCGCATTCATTTATACCCCATTATTTGAGGCTTTTCTTCACTTAGAAATGCCAACTTGAGCCTTCGACGTCACTGGGAATGATGACTTCTCCAGGCACGTAGAAAATTCAATTTCTTGGAGAGAAGGCTGGCTTCTAGCCCATGAGTTGGCAACCTCGAGTCTGCCAGCTGTTACTGGATAGCAGCAGCTGATGCTTTCCTATTGGCCAAGAGAAGACTTCTCGTAATTGGAGCTCCAACGTTTGGATGGCTGCTCATTAACTTGACATGTTATATATGTAGGATAACTTGTGCATGGAGGAACTTCAAAGGAAGAGGCGCATCCCAGAGCTAAGCTGCCTACCTTATCTGCTGTTTGTGAGAACTATCCACCTTTCGCTTTGGATACCAAGCAGTCTGAAAGCCAGGCTTTTACAAGAATTGCTGTCAGAGCAGGGAGGCTCAAATTGCCTAAAGATAAAAGTGAAGCACATATTGTATGTCCGAGGCAGACTGACATGTCAGGCTAGACTTGTTATCAAAATCTGATTTGGGGTTGGTTGGAGAAGTTGAGGAGGAAACTGTAACCAATTAGTTTAAGCCGTTTTCTTCTTACTTGAGATGAGGAAAAACCTTAGGAAAACCACCCACTGTCAAGCTTTGCTTTAAACTGTTCAGTTTTCCAAATGGATCCAGCTGCACCTTTCTTAAATCAGAGGTTCCTGATTTATTCATAAATCAAAGCCATTAGGGATTGCAGAGCACAAATACAAGTGGGCCAGAATGAGCACAGCTGGAATACTCAGCAAGCCGTTTTACCATTCAGAGAAGAAGGGAGAGAAGCAATGGTTGGTCTATCAGGAGAAAAGAAAAGAAAATTAAAGGTTCAGTAAGGTGACACTGTATTAACAGATAATGGGAGCATTCAGAAATACTTCCATAATTTTAATGCAAATTTGTACAAAAGATAGGTCTCCCTGGGAAAAAAACTGATGAATATTTGAAAAAAGCCCAAACAGAATTCATCCAAGCTTTCACAATCTAGAAACAAATTTCATGAATGTGAAACAAAATATAACATTTGAAATCTCAGAAGCCATAAAAATATCAAAATAAAGCACCATAGAACACCAAAAACAGAGCCTGATGGAATACAAAGTTCACACTATAAATGTTTTGAAAACTAACATTTGCAACTGCTGAAAAGAGCGATGAATTCCATTTTGCTGGGATCTGCTATGCCAGAATCTTGGAAAGAGACTAATACTGCTTTATTGCCAAACTTAATTTGACAAAAGTATTTACATCAATATTGGCCAATAAAGATTTTACAGGATTTTACTCGATGGTCAATGTGAGTTTTTACCAAAAGACAATTAAGAGATAATGTGAGAATTATATTGAATATAATAGAGCAGTGGTGGCTAACCTTTTTGTCGTTCTATGCTGAAAGCACGCCCCCCCGCCCACATAATGCAACACACATGCAACCCCCTGTGCGCCCACATGCATGCATTTGCCCCCCCCCCACATTTTTGGCTGCAGGTGACTTCCCAGGCCCAAAACGGGGTGTCGAGGGCAGCATGCGGCCCCCATACTCCCGTTTTGGGGCCTGGAAGGCCTGAACCAACCTGGAAACCAAAATGGGGCGTGGGGGCACTGCATGAAGCCCCAAAGTGTGAGCATCCCCTGCACATGTGCCCCCCATGCATGCGCATCCCCTGCACATGCACAGCAGAGACCCGAAGACCAGCTGGCCGGTGGGAGGCACACCTGCCTGCGTGGTGGAGCTGGGCTGGGGCAACTGCTGACGTGCCTGCAGAGAAGGTTCTCTGTGCCACCTTTCACCATCATAGTAATAGAGCATCTGGAACAACATAATGAGACGCAAGTGGCACTGATTTTTCTGGATGCAGAAAAAACTTTTAACAATTTGAATTGGTCTTTTATGTTTATAGTTTTGGAAGGACATGGACTTTTGGGAGAATTTTATTCAAAGGATTAAATCAATATACATACCTTAGAAGGTGCATATTATTAATAGTGATTTAATGAAACCATGTGAAATACAGAAGAAATCAAAGCAAGGATGTCCCTTCGCTTTCTATGTTAGTTCCAGACAGTAGACAGGATGAGAAAATAATTGGTTTGAAAAGTTAAAGAGGCTTATAATTCGAGGACTTTTGCTGATGATATAGATTTGATTTTACACAGCCTCAGAATAGTATTGAACACTTAATGAAGAAATTGAAGACTTTGCTGCATTAGCTGGTTTAAATGTAAATAAACTGAAAACAAAGACCTTGGTTAAGAATAGGAGTACATCAGACTGAGAAACTTGGATTTGTATCTTTTTCAGAAAGTCTTCATACAAATGATGTCATATGCACAAACTGCAACAGAATTTCACCAACCACATTCAGAAAACCAAAATACATACAATTGAGGTTTCACTGTAACAAACCAAAGCCAAAACACTATTTAATTTATATTACAGAGCATTTTATGCATAAATACATTCTATACAATTATTTACAATTTATCTACAAGTCAGAAGAAAAACCTGCATTAGCCTATTGTTCAATCCAGTGGGAGGGCTGTGCGGTTTATCAGTGAAAGATGATAATTTAGCTGCCCAAAAAAGGTCAAAGGCTGGAAAATCCTGCTGTAATTTGCTTGAATGTTTCCAATAATGAACTGCTTAATTCCAAAACAAAGCAAAAAGTTAGCAACAGGAATTAGGCATGCTCTATTTCTTTCGTGAGAGTAAGCTTGTACTCTCAAGGCCAAAGAGCCCTTTACCCAAAGAGGAAAGGTTTAATGTCACAAAGACCAGCTGGGCAAAAATCTGAAGGTGTGCCATTATTGTTACCAAGAAGAATCTGTACGGATATCAGTACTGATGCACTGAAAGGATCCCTCTCTCCAGAAACAGGAGTCCATTAGAATCCAAGATTACCTTCGACAGGAGAAGGCGGGAAGAAATCCATTCACAAGAGTCAATCTTCAATACCCATTTACTGGTAGTTGCCTGGTTTTGTTTGAGACGGTCGAAATACACGACTGATGCTACTTTCAATGAAGACTTTCAACCCTTGTAATTCTTGGGAGTACAAATATTCCAAGTACCAATCCCATCTCTTCCCCTGCAGATAAAGCATTAGAGTAGTTTACATCTTCAGGTACAGAAATTCTTCTTTGCCATACAATTTTTTACGACCCTATAATCCCATGCATCAGGGCGACTGAACAGAGCTTGAGTGTTTACTAGCTGGATGCCCTTCCTGACGCCTACATGGAGTTCCGAGCAGAGAATAACACATTGCGCTCAGAAAGAGAAAAATCTGCCGTTACCTAGGATCAAACTCACAGCCTCCTGATTGTAAGGTGAGACATCCCCATCTGGGCCCCCATCCCGGTCTCCTTTTCCATACAATATACACTCATTTTCTGTGCAGCCTCTTAATTCCCAGATCAATTTACAAAGGAATGAGCCTAGAAGTACTAATATTTTGTAACTCACACCTAGCCGTGTGGAGTCATTTATCATTGTACAATTTTATTCTCAGAAGCAATGCCCAACTGGTTACAATATATCAAACGTCCCAAGAAATTTAATCCTTTTCAAAACGTATGACTTTTTTTTACCTGAATTAGCTTGATATCCGGGATTTTGTGTTCTGATTGTATCTGAAAAGAAAAGGACAATTAAAAAAAATTTTTTTTTGAGCCTGGAACAGATATTTAAGGAAGTTATTGGTTAATACGGCCTAGAAACCACATCAAAAACATGCCCTTTCCGAGAATAATATGATACTGCTAAAGGACAAAAGGTACCATAAGGATGCTTTTGGGGTTCTAAAAATAAAATCAGGTCTATCGGTATCTCTAAGCTACGTCATGAAATTAGGATACATTCATGCAAACCTGGGATTTTACAATGGTCCTATGTCAGTTGGCTTGTATTAGATCAGGGTTGTCAAACTCAATTTCATTGAGGGCCGCATCAGGGTTGTGTTTGACCTTGGAGGGCTGGATGGGCGTGACCAGCTCGATGTCACTCGTGTCGGGGGGTGCCTATGGTGGCCTGAGTGCTCTGCCAGCGAAAACAGGTTCCCAAGTTCTGTTTCAGTTGCAATGGCCACCTGCAACCCTCCGTCAGCCAAAATGGAGCTTGGAAGTGCCACCATTGGCCCTCGCGAACTCTGTTTTCGGCTGCGATGGCCTCCTGCAACCCTCTGCCAGTGAAAACAGAGCTCCATTTTCGCTGGAAGAGGCACTGCGGGCTGATCCTTCGCTGTTTCCAGGGCAGCCCTGCAGGCCAGATCTAAGCACCCCGGAGGCCAGATCCAGACCCCGGGCCTTGAGTTTGACACTTCTGTTTTAGATTGATTTCAGAATATACCTGGATCTCGAGTTCAACATGAGGAAGTTCAGTGAATTAAATAAATAAATAAATCTAGGTAGGCCACTTACAGAACAGATAGCTCTTACTGCCGTGAAGCTATTGCCGTTCCACTATAAACTGAATTGTAATGGACTTAATTGCTGGGGACATTTAATTCTCTGCAATGAGCTTCTCGCTATTTCTGCCTTCAAGAGGACTCCTCACCTTATTCCTCCATCTCTTTGGCAGGATAATCTCTATTTCATATTATAGTGATTTATTAAATCCGTATTGGTCATTATCGGCATAAGGCAGTTTCTATCTCGGCAGAAAACTGAACATGCCTACCAGTCATTGAAGCTAGCAATTGCCAAAGATTCCCCCAAAGGGCTGCTTTGTCTTTAGCAATTGAAGGGAAATGCTTATTCATGACAAATCTGCTTTCACCAAAGCACTTAGAAAGAAGAATCAAATTGTTCATTTTCTATAGTGCTCCTAGGATATGAGATCTCACTGCAAAGCCCTGATGTATTATAGATACCACAGACTTCGACAGACAGGAATGAAAATAATGTTCTTCAGCAAAACAAAACAAAAATTGCTCTGAGGTGAACTATGTCGAACTCTTTGAAAGGAATTGCTGCGGTTTGTCTCCTGGAGATGTGAGGCTCCCCCAGTGGAGGTAAACAACATTGTGACATTTTTTCCTACCATCTTTTCTCCCTGAATAATGGCTGGTCCTATATATTAAGAGCAGTTAGATTGATGAGAGATCACTGTTCATGTCAGCATGGACAAATTAGCATAATGAATCTGTTATGTAGGAAAACAAGGTAATGATTTTGATGCCTTGCCTAAAAATGATGCCCATTTCTATAAATATTCATTAGCCCCTAATTCTGTTTCTTACTAGTCAGGAAAAAGAAAAGGAAACATGAGTCTCGGAGGGAAGCAGAGCACCTCCATGGAGAAATCTTTAGCATGTCTAAATTTCTTTAAGCATTGCTGTGTGTGTGTGTGTGTGTGTGTGTGTGTGTGTGTGTGTGT